AGAACAGAAACAGGTGAACGAATACGCTTCTGTGAATCGGAAGAACTGATGGCAGCGAAGGGTTCAGGCGGGGAACCTGCTCTTGGGGTGCCCTACCACTATGCCTCCGGCGTTGCCGGGGTTGACGGATATGCCCAAGGTCCGACTCCCCAGCCTGTATTCTACGTGACGCAGCACCCGCATCAAGCTGGGATGATCCCGCCGAATGCCGTCTTTGGAGATCCAAAGGGCATCCCGCTCCAGCAGACGATGTTCCGGGATACTCCCGCTCCTTTCGAGTGCGTTTACTGTGGATCATCCAGTCTTACCACCATCAGGTGCTCCAACCCTTGCGACCATGATTCGTTTTTATGATTCTGGTGATTGCTTTCGTTTTCTTTTGGTTTGGATTTATTTAGGTGATTAGCCCTAAAATTGTGTTCTTGGATTATTGTTTTAGGATTTTCTTGTTTGCTTTAGTAATAGTAGAGGTCAGATCGGCTTTGTTACTGTAGCGTAATCCTGTCGGTAGCTAAATATCTTATTGATGGCTAAAATAAATATTGAGAAACAAGAAGAAAGGAGGATTATAATCTTAGTTGATTATTTAAATAGCATAAAATTATTCAAGTATAATAGGCACAATGCATTTAATAGAGAATATAATAAACTGAATAACTTTTTTTTTTCAGTATTTTTGCTGGCAATTTAGGGTTTCTAATCGGCTGTATTTAAGAGGTTTGATATTGAAATAATTTCCAATTAGGTGGATTGCAATATGGTGAGGTCAAGACCCATTGTTCTTTCAAAATATGGAGTGTTTCGAATTGTCCGAAATTCAGGGAAAGAATCAATTTGTTGTCTATTTTGGATAAATAATAGAAAAGCATTTAAGATGTTTTGACATTTCAAGGGAAATGGAGGGCTAGTGATATACCAGGATTTGTCATACATATTTGAAAATGAATTGGGAAGTTCGAACAGCTAAAAGGGGGAGAGATAATTAGCTAAAGTACCAACCTTTGTCAGGGTTAGAAAGCTTGGATCTTTGGCATATATGAGTGGTTTGGATCACGGTTTTATAAATGTTAAACAATTTTAGGATTGATATGAATTTCTAAGCAAACTGGTGTGAACTTCAAGGTTCTTATAATAGAGCTATAGTGGTTTTATTAGGCTGAACCAAATTGATTAAGCCAAATTGACCCAGGTGGATTGACATAGCTTCATGATTCATCCTCTCATAGATTGTGCAAAGGAGCATAAGAAATGAAGGGGAACATTTGATACCCTTGCTCCTGTCTTTGCAATAGTCCCACCCGCCACTAGCATTCTCATTAAAGATGGATCACCTCTAATGGATGTGACCTATAGTAAAGTCCTCACTAATTTTTTGCCATTGAATGATATTTATGGATAACCTCATTGGCGATCACAATGGTCCTAGTGAGCTCAATGCTATTGTATGCATAATCACAATGGTCCTAGTGAGCTCAATGCTATTGTATACATATTATTGACTACCATGGGCCCCCAATGGAGTAGATATGCATAGGCTTTTTTGGGACCAATGCACGACTGATGAACATTTGAAAGATTGCATGACTCGTAGTCCATCATGAGGCCTATTCCACTCCTCAGTAGATCCATTAAAATCACATGTTAAAATGACCTAGCAGACTGACCTATTGAATTGACCTGTTGTTTCATTTACTTACTTCAACCTTCTTGAGAATCACGAAAGTACTAGCCATCCCTTATCTAGGATTAGGACTCTCTTTTGGCCCATCCGTTGAGTTCTCCCAGCCAATGGTCCTCAAGATTTACAAATAGCCGAAATAAGGATCAACGTTAAAAGGACTGACATAAACTTCATCACCATTTATGGGCCACACGACACCAACGTTGCAATCTTTTTAGCAAGACACCGTAGATAGATTTTGTATCATACAAATCATGGTTTAATATCTTTTCTCTTTATGTATTGAAGGGA